TTCAATGTGCCGCAGATGGAAATATTCGTACTATTGAGCGGAAATCACTGAGGAATACGTCGCCTTTAAGACCTAGGTTTGACACCTTCTATTACTGGGAGTAGGAGGGAGAGGGAGATGAGTACTAAATGTAAATACAGAATCTGCTCTCCTTCTAATCTGTAGGAATACAAACCTTTCATTATCATCAAATATGGCAAAGGGTAAACTGCAGTTGACATGTTCTTGACCAGTTTGTTGTGTGGTTGTACTGAGTTTGGATTTGGGAAACTGTTTGTCTTGCTGTGGAGCTGTATCAATTTTGTCATCATTGACCTTCAGTTGCAACATAACATCGACCTTGCCACCTTGCTGGTTATCAATTGTTTGGCTTGGCTTTGATCCTCATTCTTTTGTTTGCTTGTGGCTGACATCCAAATGAGTTCAAAGAAATTAGTAGTGCTTTACAACAAATCAGAATTCTAGAGCACATAAGACTCACTTTGAAATATACAACTTTCTTGTCTGACTTGAAATAATAAGATTCTTTTACATGGATCATTTCAATTCCCGAAGAGAGGATGGTCATGCACATAAAGTAGAAGATCATCTAAACATACCTGGCTACTACCAAATCGTCCAACAAGGTTGCAGTTATTCAAGCACCAATTGACAACTTGTGCAATAAGTATGGCCTTTTTTTCACCTATGTTTTTAATGTGTTTAACATGGCAATACTAATACAATTTCTGTTAATATTTAAAAAATAACATACTTGTTTCGTTGTGTACTGGCACTATTTCAATCACACCCTTTAGTAGATTCAAACGATACTTTACAGAAACTTGTGTTTTTTAAAAATATCCTGATGAGATTTGTGGAATATAGTGGCGATGGGTTTGCGATATTTATGGGTCATCAATATTGCTGACATGTTGTGGTGATATCACCATGATGTGTGAAATTTTTTGGTAATCTCGTGATGAGATCGTCATTGAACTTGCATCTCCACCGATCTCACTGGTGTCTCGTGAGCATTAGAATACTCGTGATGATCTCATCACATGACATACAGTAGAATTTTTGACGATATTACTCACAAGTATTATGCCGATATCACCACCTTATTAATCATATCTTGTAACCAGAACACATAGATGAATGTCCAGTGACTATGGTAGTAGATGCAACGGTTCATATGCTAGTGTGCTATATCATTACTCACTAATGAATCATTGTCTATTTACTGATCAAATTGTACTCGACAAGATTACAACAATATTTTATAGGATGATTCAATGAAAGAACTCTTGGTTCTGAACGAAGGGGAAGGGTGATGTAGGATGTCGTTGTCTACTAACCTCACTACTAGCATATATTATTTACTAGATGCGAGCTGTGATCTTGGAAATTATATGAAATTTGCTGTCGCTTATATTTCATCCGAGTAGAAGCAGATTCATCTTATTGCTTGCGCTGGCATTGTGACTGATATACGTGTTACTTCAATTTTTAGGATTGTTCTTCCAACATCTTTTGTTATTATTGCGGGAACAACACTTTCTCAACTGGAAGTCTTGGGCGCAAAGGGAGACAACGCTTATGGGATGTGTGGAGGTGCGTAACAGTGTCTTGGGACAATACATGATAGGATATTGGGTCGCTAACTCGGTACAAGAAACGCATTTGGTTTTTTTATTGGTTCGCTTTATGTCCGGGTTTTTTATGGGTTCGCTTATGTGTGTTTTATGCATTAGTGTATGTCAGAAGTATATGTTGGTGATGAACATTTGAGGTTGAGAGGATGTGTGCTCTATGTATGTAGAGGAGGATTATAGTGGGTGGGTATTGCTATGGTAATAAATCAATTGATGGAGTTTGGATGACGCACTTATGGAATGTGTTATTAATGGTCTATGTACATTCATCGCTTAATGGCAGATTTCATCTATCATAAGGATGTCACAATCAGGTATTGCTCGAAGTGACATCCTAGTGAATGAGAACATGAGATATGTCAGCTATTAGGTAATTGGGAGTGTTAAGTTCTGCTTATCCACATATGTCTTCCATTGACAGACGGAATCATTGACATATGGTATGATCTGATTAATACATCTTGCGACATCTTTCAAATGGACTGTAAATGAAGTCTTCTTCATTAAATTGATACTGAGATCGGGTCGTGAGCGTGATACAATTCATATACTAATTGGTAGAACTGTCCCACAGTCACACTCTTTGTAGTGCCTTTGGAGAAGGCAAATTCTTTGATTTTCAAACTATATTCTGCTGAATGAGAGGAAGAAGCTTCTGCTTATATGGCGATTGATTGACATATGTATCCTGTTAGTGTTTTGACGATTACAAATCCTTGTTCCGTAGATATTCCATGCATGCGAAAGAATGAAAAAGGAAGTGAGCATGATGACGTCGAGGTACAATGCTGTCATGGACCAGCTGTTTACCTCCATTGGATTCCTTTCGGTGTCCTGATACACAATTAGCAAAAGTATGTTTGTCTATTTGTTGCTATTTCATAGCCGGACGAAAAGCGCGTCTATGTGGTGTCAATATTGGAAAGAGTTAAGATCGTTGCAATTATTATCGGAACGTTATCGCGTGATAGCAGGTACTATTGCTACTTGTAAACTGTAGAATACGAACATGCGGTGATTAGTAGTAAGGAATAAATTAACAAACAAGCGACGACAATAGCCCAGTATTCATTGATCTGGATCTCTTGTAATATACATAGTCATCGAGTAATTACAATATCAGAATCCTTAAGCATCATAAACGTAATGTTCCAGCGACAAGAATTCAATTCAGGTTTCTTTTGATAAATACATTCTGATCATATAACAGACATGTACTATTAATGGTTGAAATAAATAAGAAGATATATTTTCAATTCCGCATGTATTAAATTATCCCTGTTCAGGGAGTAGGTAACATTGTAATAGTGAGGCATTTTTGCTTTGGGATAAGTGTTACAATTAAGGGTGGGAATTATTTCCATACAGCGTGAGAATGTGAGATTGTAATTATGCATACTAACTAACGTTTTGCAGCTCTGTGCATAATATCACATGGTAAACTCACTAAGACAGACAGTAGTGATAGTGATAGTATCAACACAATCTTAGGAGTCGAAAAAAAAATAAACATTGTCAAATTAACCTACGTCTTACGAGATCACAAAATCACCATTGTGACGAATCACACAGCCACGTTTCGATTCACTATGGCGAACACATACTAGTGGGTATCAATCAATATAATGTATTGTCTCCCTTCTAGGAATAGACCGAACCGACTGAAGGAAACAGTGTGTGCATACTAGATTCTAGTTGTTGATATTTCGACTGTGGAAGATGCGATTTGCAATCTTTATTGATGGGTATTAGGGATCACTGTACTACTAATAGTAAATGAACATAATGCTATGCTATATAGCGTTAGCGTCAACCTCGTCCAAATTACATATTACCCTCGTCGTGACTTCTCCTTACATTGTAATAATTCTCGTACAGGTAGTCGCGCTGTGATATTATGGTTAGTCGGAATTTTCAAATCCACTGTCAACTCATCAAAATCCTTTATCGCACTTTTCGCTTCCTTTCCCTCAACAAGTGCAGCAACCCATTTTCCTACAACTCTGATTACAAAATTTCTCAAACCCTTTTTCATTTCCTTATTACTATTAAGAGCCAGTTCATTAACAGCCAAGAGTGGAAGATGAAGAACTTTCTTCCATACGCTCTCGTCAATAAATTCAGATAAGTATCCATCTTCCAAGACCCCTCTATAAAAATTGAGATAAATAAATTTTTGTCACTAGATATTTAATAAATTATGCAAATTAGACTGACCGATATTTTTCCTTGTACGCCTCTGCTGTTGCACGTAATGACTTGCTGACTTGATATCTAAGATTGTCCATGACAACACCAATTTTTTTGGCAATAACCTGTACTTCAGGATTTGCGCGTCCCATGTTCAATATTCGAGCAGCTAATTCTTCATATAATTCCGCAGTATTGTTTCGAGTTCGCAGAAATAGAGCACGTGATTCCTTATACACTCTGTCCTCGATGACCTTTTAACGGTTATGGTATGCATTGAAATTTGGATCAAAAAATTTTAGAATAATATTAAATTTGGTTACTAACGTTTTGGCTTCGGTTTATACGACGACGTGGCAACAGAATATCTTCCTCATGATAAATGCTGTCCTCGTTTTGATCGCTAAGCTGTTCACTTGTCTTGTAAATTAATTGAGCAAGCTTTAGGATTGATGGTCGGCTGGCAACCCATGTGGCAGTTTCATGTTCGTTTTGGCATGAATTTAAGTCTTTCGGTAACAAAGGTGTTGATTTCTCGGATGGTGACATAATCGTTGCGGATACTTGAGAAGAGGTTTTTACAAGTGACCGAGAATCTGTTTGTTGAGGTGTCCATTCACTGTCATAATAATCGTCATCATTGAAGGGTGATAGATAACCTATTATTGTGCATAGAAGCTATAAATGTTACAACTGAGGGAAATTGTCAATATTATTGTTTGCCATACCTTCCTGCTGTCCTAAATCATCGTCGGGATGTGCATCACAACTTTCAACTTCATTTTCCTCTACATTGTTTATTTTTTCGAAATAGCTATCGGTATTTAGGTCATTTGTGTGCTGTCTTAGAGCTAAGTTGCCATAATTAGTACTTAACAAGTAGCGAATGCTTTATACTGCATGTATTATAAAAATTACCGGATCGTCTCATATGATATATTTGTTTCCGTGGCATTTCCGAGTGGCTTTTGTTAGCGGACCTTTTTCTTAAGTTTAATTCTACATTTTCTTTAGCCGCTCAAGACTTTTTTGGTGGCATTGTTAGAACTTTCAAGTTGAACAAGATGTACTTTATAACTTTGCTCAATCTGCCTTAATATTAAGAACGGCTGTTAAATTCTTGACAAACTTTTGCGTTTCTTCGCTACCGTACATTACAATTTTATAGAAATTTGAGGAACGCGAGTTTGGCAAATCACTTATTATTACATAAGTGCTGAAAGCTTTTACTGTGGTTTGAGTTGCATATCTGGAATCGTGTTATTTACACTCTGATGGCCTAGAAGCCGCGCGTTGTTTGTTGTTTGGTTACCGAATGATGAAATATTTATTTCAAGACTTGACATTTTGGTAGAAACTATATGGCTGTGTGGGAAAAGACAATTTGATTGTCAAAATAGGCTAGATAAAATTTTAAAATGATCAACAAAACGAGTTTGGTATTACTTATGTGAGATTCCCATAACCATTCTTCCCGAAGAATTTATTACTAGGAGTATGCCAAGGCTCTGTCGAAAAGCAAATTACAACCAAAACTTATATCGCCTATGTAACAGATTACAACATACTCTTGACAATCGGCCATGCAAGACTGAGTGTTTTAAAAACTTGCACACTTCAGATGATATGTCTACTCACCAGAATATTATTTGCAGCGTGAGTGATATGGTTGACGAGATTAATTGCACTGATAAAGATTCTTCGGATAAAATTGACGACACAGGTGAAGATGCTATTGATAATGAGATTAATGATGACTATTTTACTGGAGAGAAGCATGTAGAAAGGTAATCAGTTACTACATAAAGTTAGACTTTGTTATGTGTTATATTTAACATTTTAGTTGTTTTTAGCGATTGTGAAAGTAATGGTAGTTATGCAGAAGATTTATCTTTTGATGCAAATATTTCTCAAGAAGATGAGGATGAATTGTCACATCTGTATTGTAATATTGCTGAAGAAGCATCAAGTTTATTTGAAGGGTGCAGCGGAAAGTGTGGGCCGTATTTTCCCAATTTTACGGCAGCAATGCTGTTTATATGGATTCATAAACATATGATCTGTATGTATTAGTACTTGACAGTTCAGTCACTGAACATTTCACAAAATTTTTGATTGACTTGCAATTTCATATAAGGTTGCACAAAATAATTATTTGTT